ACAAGGAAAGATGACCTATGAAATGGGAGATCGATTTCTAAGTTGATTGTAGAAGGTATAAATCATGAAGAGCCATTAACAATGGTATCCTTAATGATAGGAGTTGGAAATATTGTCGCTAACTTGAAATTTATAGTGAAGTATAGTGAGATTACATACATAGATCTGTTAGATGATGAGGGAGTACAACATTTGATAAAGTATAATGATGAGTTTGCACATGTGTATATTAAGAAAAATAATAATGAAATATATGGAGCATAAATTATTCAATAAAGTAAGTTGTTGTTCTTAATTATTTATAGTTTTAATTAATTTAATCACAATTTCTATTAACCTGTGAGTAATTGTGAATGTAAGATGGAGCATTTCTTAACATGGTCACTATCAAGATTTCCTTGCTTGAAGGTATATCACTCTATTTGTCATGTTCAACATAAAATGCCCTTGCACCACTCTCTGAGGTTAATTCAGTAAAATAAAAAATTTATTTATATGATTGGGTAGACCTTTAACAATGCAACTCATAAAAACATTATATATAAGTACAACCTTGCTCATAAATTTAGATACATATTTGTAACAAATAGCCTTAAGAAAATGATTTTCAAATGCAATGCTGATGTGGTGACAAGTTATGTAAATAGATTTGCAGTCGATGTTGTTTTTTAAGAAGTAGACTATAAAAGTATCATTTAAGTAGATGAAATATTTTGTGTGTAGGAAGGGATGTAAATATGGTATATATGTATTGAAATAAATGTAATATAATGCTGATGTTTATTTCAGGTTTAAATATGTGCAAGTGTAATTGTTGTTATAATATAATACTATTGAAATTACTGACGTAGCATGGAAATACTATTATTGTAAATTGTGAAAACTTAAAACCCTACTTGGGAATAGATTTTTTTTCCTAATATTTCAGACTTTTGAAGTGTAAAAAGTTGTCATAACATAAAATTCACTTTTCAAATTTTTCAAGTGGTACTTATGAAAATACAAACATGATTTGAGAATTCACTCACTTCAGTAAAGAATATGAATACAAAAGTGACTTGTCAAGTTTTATGCTTGTCAATATATAGTTAAGACCAGTTAAGAATATATTAATGTGGCTTGAGAATATTGCTATTATATATTATGAAAATATAAAATCCCACTTGAAAAAAGATTATTTCCTATAATTTCAAAAACTGAGTTTTGAAAAGCTCCAATGTCACTTATGAATATATTAAAGTGGCTTGAAAGTTCACTAACATTAGTCAAGATAATTCACCAATGACATGTCAAAATTTATGCTTGTCAATGAATAGTTAGATCTACTAGGAATTCACTAATGTGACATAGGAATATTACTATCGTATCTTGTAAAAATATAAAACCCTACTCAAGAATAAATTGTTTTTCAATATGAAAACTTTTGAAATGTTACAAGGTCACTTATGAATATATTAACGTTGCATGAAAATATTGTTATCGTATACTGTAAAAATATGAAACTCACTTAAGATTAGATTGTTTAATAAAAAATGACTTATCTAAATTGAGATTTCACAAACGTGACCTAAGAATTCACTAACATTAGTCAAGATAATTAACCAATGGCATGTCTAATTTCTTGTACATTTAGCAAAAAATACTTAGGGTTAACTGTTGTATCATATATATTGAGCCACAAAAAACGCTTAAGTACATAAAGTTTTAATTTACATCATACATATAACCAAACCATAACTCGTGAAAGTGCATACCATAGTTGTCTAATCCATGCTTTCAATCTTTTTGGTCCTCCATGCCTGACATTTAAAATAGATGTCATCATTTGTGAGGCTACTCTATTGTGTGGATGAGTCACCAGCCAATACAATAGCCTAGCCCTCATTTTATTCAATTGTCCCTACACAATTAGAGCAAGTCAATTAACAAACAAAGAAGATGCAAAATTGTGACACATGAAAATTTTATTTGAAATTACTGTATACTTGTAGGCTCAATATTCAAGTACTTTAAGAAAATGAGTCAATCACAAGAGCTACACACACACACACACATTAATCTCAAAGCCTACAGAAAAGAAAAAATATAAACTCATTGGAAGAACTGCTTAGAAAATATGTGCTAAGATCAAAACTGAGATCATCTCTAGAAAATGCATCAAACCAACCATATCTACACCATCATATTTGAAATCTTTCAAACTCTCCCTTTTAGATCAGCTTTCCCCTAACATCCACAATACTAGTATTTTCAATGCTAACGTATGCATGCTTATCTCACTTGACAATCACTAAGAGGGAGAGGAGGATATAGGACATAAGAAAAAGGGATAGAGAGAACAAGAGAAGTATAGCCATCGAGTATTAAAATCTAAGGACGATATCAGTTCAATGCTAAAACATAGGAGAAGCAATATTGAATTTAGGAGCTTTGGTATTGAAGAAATATTAATTTCATATTTATCTTCTTTAAGGTCTTTACTTGTCATGCTCCCAATAATTTACATGTCTGGTAAAAAATGAGAGAGTATTAATCTATATGAGTATCTTATTTATAGTGAGGATAAAAGACAATGCATTAATGATTAATAATTAAAAAATTATTTTCTAATTAATGTACAATTAATCCTAATAGTATACAATCAAATCATATCCTAATCATATCATAATCAACAAGTATTAAGCAATAAGGAAGCAATAATATGGGAGGAAAAGAAATCAAAAATTTATGCTTCTACATCCAGAATTGAAGTAGAGTTTGGGAAGGTATAGCTTCTAATGTCAGGGAACCCATGGAAGTCTGGTCATCAATTATGACTTGGTCATTAACCCTCCACTAGAATTAGATGAAAGGAGTGAGGGGAAAGCATGATGAGAAGCAAGGAAGGGGTAAGTGTGGAGTGTTAACCAGTATTTACCCAATAATTGTCATAAGCATGAAATAGAGATCAAATATTAAGATAAACCTAAAATAACTAGAAGTAACATAAAAATTTATTACTTCATAATTATGCTTCCTATAATCCCAACCATAATCACAATAATTCAGCATATATGTTGCATTTTTAAACATTAGCATACTTTTTATTACAAAACAAAAAAAATTTAGTATCCATGTTATATCTTTTCTTTTTTTCACTCAAATTTTTTCAACACTATCGGTCTTATAAAATATTTCTTTTGTGTGTAAGTGTGTGTAATTTATATAATTATTAAGAAAATTACTTTTTTTCTTAGCTATACAAGAGAAATGGTGTAAAGTAACATTTATAAAGATATAAAAATTCTTTTGTGCATGACAGAGGAGATGTAAGAGATAAAGAAGAAAAAACTATAGATTTTTTACACATGAGAGTGGGAGAAAATGTAAAAGAAGTAATGCATATAATTACCTATTATCAAGATCAAAAGGGGAGAACGTGATGACCTAGATAATGATCCCTTTTACTAATTTTTTGTCTAGATTTTTCACATATGAGAGCAGATTTCTTGCACCTAAAAAGAAAAATAGAGAACACAAATATAAGCTACTATCTTTTAGTATTTAGTAAAAGGCAATTTTATAAAGTTAGATACATTTTTTATCCTTTGGATTTGAATATTTATAGTTTTTAATTGAGATTAATGTTCTTAAGAGTTCTTACTTGTCATTTTCCTTTTTTCCCGTGTATTGTTAATAGTGTCACATTTATTGGATGTACATACATACATATATTCATTCATTCATTCTCCTTTGGATAAAATGTTGATGTTTTCTTCGTCTAAAGTCTAAGCACAGTAAGGTTTTGGAAAACTAGAAAATTGTTGTTTAGTTATAAATTATAATGTTGCGTGTTTTTATTTTGGTTTTTTTTTTCACATTTGTGGGAATAAGTATGCAATGATGAGAAATTGGCAAATATTTAATGTTTGTTTTTGTATATGTGTATATATTATATTCTTCAATATTATGTTTGAACCGAACCATAGACAGATAAGATTAGAAGAAAAACACATATTGGGCAAAAGGATGATGATATTGATTAAACAAACATTACATTACTAGCAAAAATTGTCTGATAATAGAGATAATAGATTTAATAATCAGACAAACTTTCATGCAATTCCTCTTATATTAGATATGACACGAGTATTACAAAATTATAATCGTTGTGAACTATAAATACCTAAACACATGATTTTAGATTCTAGTTTGTATAGAAAATACTCAAAAAAAAAAGTGTGCTTTTTTGCTCCAATGAAATCATTGAAAGTTAATATTTTTCTTAACTTTAGCAAAAATATACTATGAACTTTCTATCTTTATTTTGAAGCTTATATGGATCTTTGTTAAATTGTGCGGGCTTAGCTATTTTCAAAATTTAGGCATAACTCTTGTAAAATAAAGACTAAAACTATAATCTTATTTTTTTACTTGTTTGTAGGCTCACATATTTGAGAAAAGAGAAGTTTCTGTTCCAAAAAAGACTATGTTAAAAAAATGCATAATTGTACACAATTTTAAATTTTAAAATGAAACTAGTCATTTTGAACTTGTGCGCCACACTATTTAAAACTTAGAATGAGATTAACCTAAATAATGAAAACAAAAACTTCTTCAATAAAAGAAAAAAAAGTTGGAATATTTCATTATTTGAAAATCTATCAGAGGAATGCAATATTTTATTTAATAGTTCTTTAAAAATTATTATAAAATTAATATATCATTAAATATAATTATGATTTTAATATTAGGGTGAGAGAGAATGAAAGAGTGGGAGGGATAAAAAAAATAAGAATAATTTTATAATAATATTATTTATATTAAATTACTTTATCCTCAACCCGAGATTAAAAGTACAATAAATGAGCTTCGAATGGCTTAGAAAAGCCACTCCAAATCATTAAAACTTTTTTTTTAAAATTTTCTCAAATAATAATATAAAAAATTTTAGCCATTCCATTCCATATAAAGGGGAAAAAAAAACCAACCAATACCTTAATTTCATAAATTAATCAAAGAAGACTGAAGTTGCCAACTGGGATTTGGGACAGGCCAAAGGCAGTACCCTATGCTGGGAGAGAGGGAAAGTTTGAGACTTGAGACTGCACTGAAGTTCTCAGTTCTCTGGAGAGATCTTGCGGCTTTTGCCGTTGTGTAACTGTTGCGCGAAGAAGATCGAATTCACACGACGCAGTCTGCCTCTTGCTCAAGAAGTGGGTTCAAGAGCAAAACCCAAAACCCCCTACTGGTTCATGCTCGACCTGTGTGGTGGCCCCAAAATTTCAGTTTCCGAACTTGAGGCGAAATGGGGTTGGAGAGCTACGTGGTAGTTCATAATATAGCCAAAAGGCACAACGTTGGGACCCTTGCACGAAGCGCCACGGCTTTTGGAGTAACCGAGCTCATACTCGTTGGCCGCAGAGATTTTAACTCATTCGGCAGCCATGGCTCCACCTCTCACCTCCGTTTCCGTCACTTTCACTCCCTCCAAGATGCTCGCCACTTCCTAAAGGTCTCGACTTTGTTTTTCTATGCATACTTTCTCTCGTGACGTTAAAATTGTGCATCCCCAAAGTGTAAATTCGGGTCAATGATTGCTCTCACAGGAGAAGGACTGTGATATTTGTGGCGTGGAGATCACGGACGATGCCAAACCCGTCAATCAGCATCCCTTCAAGAGAAGCACGGCTTTCCTTCTTGGGAACGAGGTATTTTCATTCGGTTTATATTAAAGTATCGTTTGGTGTTGTCCAGAGACTTGTTCTCCGGTAAGGTTGCCCAGTTCCAGATTGACTTGCTTTGATCATAATTAATGCTGTTTCCTTTTTTTGTTCCATACGCTTTTTACATATATTGTGAATCTTTTCTAGTCCAGCTGAAAATTATATGTTTTCCTTAGTGATAGACCAATCATTTATTTGCCTGTAATCTGGACAAGTGAATTTGAACCGTTAATTGATAGATGCTTAAAGATATATTGGGAACCTTTGTGTTTGCTCTAACACTCTGCTAGTGCTCAGGCGAGATTTATCTACCTTCTTTGACATACAATTGCTGTCTATGGCTAGTAGCTGATGAGTTTGACATTCTATTGTATAAATTACCTTGTCTATGATGGGTGCTATACTCAATAGTTCCTTAATTCAAATAGTAGTTTCCCTGGGTTGGTGGTATCGAGCTTGTCATGGATGATTCAGGAAATATCACAAAGAAACTCATTACCGTTAAAAGCAACCAAGGAGTATCACCTAGAAATCTTCTGTCATTGAAATGAAGCTCACTAAAAGCCAGAGTCGTGATTATTTTTCTATTGAGCTAAATTATGTGATTCCTCCAAATATTTCTGTGTAGGGTACGGGCCTTTCCGCTAAGGAATGTGAGATATGTGACTTTTTTGTTTATATCCCACAATATGGGGGTGGCACTGCTTCATTGAATGTTACTGTAGCAGCTTCAATCGTACTTCATCACTTTGGAGGTATTCTATTACTGAATTTGAAATGTTGCAGTTTACGCTACCCTTAGGTCCTGAGTCCTGACATTAAATATATATCTCCTTTACAAGAATATGCTATTTCGAATGCGATTTACATGCGGGCTAATGTGATAATGATATTTTTTTCATGATTGCATATCTTTATCCTGAAGTTTAAATCCTTCCTGGGAAGTCAACAAACGTGTCCTTATCTATTGTTGTCTGGCACTCATGTTGCTACTTTTGACCCTTTTTCTAACCTCCTGCTGTCATCATCTAAGTTCTAGTAGGATATGCATATAAGTGAACCAAGGTTGTTCTCTTTCATGCGTTTTGGCCTCATCATAACTTAGGAAAAGCATTAGATTAGAATAGATCTATGTTGAGTAACGCAGGCTTGTAACCCTAATGGGGCCATGAAGCTTATGTTAATGAAGAATAGATGCATGCCTCACTGGCTGTTTTCAAGTCTGAAGGATATCTTCATATCTATTCCAATTCATTTTTCTCAATAGTATTTTACGTTCTACTTGGATGCTTAAAGAAGTTGTATCCTATTGATGGTTCCCGTGTTTCAGCTGCCTTTGCAAAATTGTACTTTAACAATTCTTTCTGAAAAATTTCAATTCCGAACATTTGCTTATGGTGAAGACAGGTATAAAGCTTTCGCAACTGCATTTCATTTTCACCATGATGCTACCTCAATTCATTCTTCTTTTGTTGGTTAATTAGTTTTGAATTGTCATTTATCTATCTGTAAGGAGCTGTAATTTCTGATCTATGAATTTCATCAGTCTGGGCAGGTTTTGCAGAAAGATCTCGTGATGGAAACAAATTCATTGTTGCTGAGAAACCTATAAAACAGGGTCGGCGAAACTACTGTGCTGAAACAGAAGATAGTATCGCGGAAGAGCGTAAAGGAAGGAGGGAAAATGCTGCTAATGGTTTCTTTGATGAGGCTGAGAATGGAAATGCATCTTCTAACCTCCTGGATGCATTATTTGTCAATGAATGATGGAAGATGCCTTGACATTTTGGGCACATCAGATTTTGAGAATCTGGTTTGATGGCTTAAATTCTTGAGCCACCTTGGAACAGGAACCAGAGCAACCTAAGTGGTTGATGGAGAATGCTATATTTAATATCTAGCTTTCGAAAAAGGATCTCATTTTTGCTGAGGAAGGATTGGACCTGCATTAGGTGTAATTGTAAACTTGCAGTTTACCAGTTGAGAGTGTTGCAACTACCTTTGGCGGAGGGACATATTTTGAAGTCAAATCCAGTTCTCCTGGATTAACTACTGTTGTAACAGATCACAATTCTATCGGCTTCATACTTAATTGTTAAATCAACTGATATAATGCTTTTTTAGCCCCTTACCTTCACATTAGTGTTATTGCGGTTATCTATTAAATTTATCTTATCTGGAAAAAAAATATATATATATATATATATATATCTTACCTTCTCTGCCCACATTGTTGACTTCATCATGTTCGGAATCCTAGCTTCGACAGCTACCACTGGTAGAAATGGCCAACTAAATTATTTCTCTTGAAAATACAAAAGATGCAATATTTCAAGTGTTTTAAAATATGTATCAGGCAACTTCCCAATGACATAACCTGTACTCTATTTTGTTTTTGTCATAACACATTTTTTATTATTGCGCTGGAATTAAGGAAAAGTGGCATTAATTTTGTTTTAAAATAAAATAAATTTTCAGTTTTATCTCTATTTAAATGAATTTTTTTAATTTATATTATATTCTATCTTATAGTTAATGAATTTAAATAGAGATAATATTGAAAAAAGTAATTAAAATCTCATCAAATATTTTATAATAATGATTAAATAATTTTTTAAAAAAGCATCCTATAATGGACATGGTAGGAAATATCATATTTAAAGAATTAATTTTTTTAGTAATTATTAACAAAAAGAAGTCAACTTTTACAGGTTTAATTTGTAAACAATGCTATTTTTTTTTTAAGAAAAATCAATTTTGGCTTAATAATTCTGAGAAGTATATTATATGAGAAATAAATTTAAAATGCAGCAAATACGGGGGAAAAACATTACTTTAAGATGGTTCAGAATAGAGATTTAGTCTGGAAAAAAATAAGGAAGAGAGAAAGTAAAAGCAGGAATCATGCTTGATACTGTCATTGGATTGGTAGCAGTTGGCCTTTATTTTGTTGTGTGGGCAAAGAGGCTCAACAATATCGCTCCATTGTCAATCGTCCAAGCTCTGTCTCACTCACTCCGTGGATTAGTTAGCACCTACCTTTGGCTCTATTATTTGCCTACGTTGACTCGTATCCTTTCTTCCTGTATCACAAATCATGGTGATTAAATAAACTTCGAGCTTCACATAAAACCAGATACCCCCAACATATACTCTTCCCCACAATAATAGCCTGTTAGATTCTGTGTTACAAGATGTGGAGTTTGCTCAGAAGAAAACTCAGGTTCCTCTATTCAAGGATAAGTTGGTTGCTATGGAAGCGACCAAGGTGTAAAGTTGTGATCAGAAGGTTCAGAAAGTTGAGCCCCAAAGATCACTCCAGACCACAACAGTCTGGCTTCATTAAAACTGCAAGTAATTCTGATTCTGTGAAGCCTATTAGGATTGCTACTTTCAATGTTGCCATGTTCTCCCTTGCGCCAGCTGTTTCAGAAGCTGATGAATTGGGGTCTTACAGTAATAACAAGAGTTCTTCTATGAAGGTATCTTATCCCAAAAGTATATTAAAGCACTCTCCATTGCATGCCTCTTTAAGTAAAGTTCAGGATCTCTCTAACTCCAAGATTCTCCCTCGATCCAACTTGAAGGTTTCCATCAATCTTCCTGAAAATGAGATTTCAAGAGCCAATAGTAAGCTGCTTGCTTCCATGGATGATAATGAAGTTGAAGGAGGCACATCAAGAAGAAGAAGCCAAGTCCCAGCAAGGTCCCCAGTATGCTTTTCTCCCATTATGAATTACTACTGTGGAAGCAGCGAGAGATTTATGAACAGCAGAAGCATCCTAGAAGTTCTAAGGGAGATAGATGCTGATGTGCTGGCGCTGCAGGATGTGAAGGCAGAGGAAGAAAAGAGTATGAAGCCTCTATCAGATTTGGCAGCTGCCTTGGGAATGAAATTTGTGTTTGCTGAGAGCTGGGCTCCAGAATATGGAAATGCTATTTTATCAAAATGGCCAATTAAGAGATGGAAGGTTCAGAAAATTGCTGATGTTGATGATTTCAGGTGCCTTTTCACCTTCCCAAAAACCTAAAATGCCTGTTCAGTACACACACGGATATTCAGGATGTCTGGTGTTATAAGCTATCAAGATGCATCAGATTAATTATTCTGTCGATCCAAAAGCCATTAATCAGAAGCTTATATTTTCTGTGGCTAGAATGCGATTACATCCATTTTGTGTGATGCAGGAATGTTTTGAAGGCCACAATTGATGTGCCTTGGGCAGGAGAGATTAATTTTCACTCAACTCAACTTGATCATTTGGATGAGAATTGGAGAATGAAGCAGGTCAACGCAATAATCAGACACATTGACCCTCCTCACATCTTAGCAGGAGGTCTCAATTCTCTGGACGGAGCAGATTACTCAGCAGAGAGATGGACAGACATTGTTAAGGTATAGTTCTCTCACACAACAAATCATGAAATCAATAATGTTTCTCCAATCTAAAAGTCATGCATGCTTTTAGTTGTTGGGCTCAGGAGTTAGGCCCGTTATTGAATGTCGGGGAATAACTTGAGCCCATAAGCAAAAGCCTAACAGTCGACCCAAGTTTATTTTGCCTGTCAATATAATTTTGCCATTGGGACTTCTCTGACACTTTGCCATTGTTGCAGTATTATGAGAAACTGGGAAAGCCCAGGCCTAAGACCGAAGTGATGAACTACATGAAATCAAAAGACTATGTTGATGCAAAGGATTATGCTGGAGAATGCGAGCCCATAGTCATCATGACCAAAGGCCAAAGTAACTATAAATTGTTCTCAAAATTTACTCCTCAGCTAGCATACTTGTTATTTCTGCTTGTTTTATTTCAGTTGAGAAAATAATGAAAATTCTAAAATCAGATGTACAGGGGACTTGCAAGTATGGGACGAGGGTGGACTACATTTTGAGCTCACCGGACTCGCCCTATGAATTTGTTCCCGGGTCATACTCAGTCATTTCTTCTAAAGGCACTTCAGATCACCACATAGTGAAGGTGGATGTAGTGAAAGTAAAAGGTGCAGAAGCTGCGCAGAAAAATGTCATGAGAAGATGCAGGAAACTGAAACAGAAAGTGAAGAGAATAGCTCCACCTTGTTCTGCATCAAATGTCTGGGAACTAACCCCACCTCCCAAAAATTTGATATTATAGAATATGATATGATGTATTTGATATATAGAAAAGTTTAGGCCACGGGGTCTTCCTCTTATTAACTGTCATATATTCGTACTGCCCAATAATTAATAGCGACTTCAGCTTGTCCCTTTTGTTCAATGATCTTCTCCATCAGGGTAAGGAAGTTGTTTGCAAGAACTAATAATGCAAAATTATGATATAGACCAAGTATGCTTAGACTGTGGCGAGCATTATAAAGCTCTAAACTTCATTATTGTAAACCATTCAAAGCAGTTGTGAGATAGATCAACTTATGCTATCCTTAATCTTATTCGACAGAACTCTGCTCAATTTAATTCAAGTTATTAAAAACGAGGTTATGGAGAAAGGGTTTGTTTCTGCTTGAGATGCTGATTTTTGGAGGATAACTTGGCTTGGGTACTATGTACTTAAAGCTAGAGCGGTTTGTAATATACTAATTAATCTGCACAATGAAGATTCGATCCCTTTAAATTCAGTTAGATCTGAGCTACCCATACACAGCGAAGATCAATCAAGTCCCACACCGAACATGAGTGCATGGTGGATATGGTCACGGAATAATCAAAGCGTGAAGCCGTGGGGTGAGCACGGAGCAACATATTCTTTCCTCTTTTAGTTTCACTCAAGAATAGCGCGACGTGAAGCCAATAATGCCCTTGTGATTTAGTAGTATAAAAGATTTCGTGTAAGTAGAATTTCACTTATAATTTCATGTCATTAATGCTTACGCCTCTAAGTAAGATATATATATATATATATATATCAAATACGCTTCTTGTTGGTTTGAGTTATATAAATTCTTACCAAGAGATTTACAATGTTTAATCAGTGGAGAAAAAGGTCAAATCCCGAATAATTACTTTTTGGCCGTCACATACAGTAAATATACGTGTTCCTTTTAAAAGGACAAAACAAACCAATATCCCCAACGTACACATGTTATGCAATATGTTAAAGTGAGGTTCAGAAAAAACCCTCTAACAAACTTTCAGACCAAATCTTCATTAACATGTCGAGGGATCAAATTTTAATTTAATACTTGACAAATATAATAATTATAAATTAACATATATCGGTTTGCTTCTCACAAAAGGCAGCATAGAACGAATCATGTGGCGCCCAGATTCAACATAATATATATATATATATAGCATAGAACGAATCATGTGGCGCCCAGATTCAACATATATATATATATATGTGTGTGTGTGTGTAACCAAACAGGCTATTAGTAGTTAAATCATAATAAATATATTCCTTTTATTAGCAAGTTTATTCAACATAACTTGAACGAAATCACAAACGTACAACGAGATATAGGCCAGTCTTTTTTTTTTTTTTTTTTGGGAAAACAAGCACAATCCTTCCAAACATTAGATCGTACATATCATGCACAGAAAAATAAGCGAAACAAGTCATTGATGTTGACTTTCTGTGTAATATTTACTTTCACATTATCTTTCAACTAACTGAGATGCCGTTCTTGGAGGTGTCAGTAACAGGGTAGTACCCAATTCCATGGCGCTTCCACGGGAAGATGGAAAAGAAGGTTCCAGAAACCAGCCCCATGATCGGCGGCAACGCCTTCAACAGAATATCGTTGTACGCATCCATCTCCGGGTACAAGCAATTCACAGTATTCTTGTCCAGAAACCCTAGCACTCCAAAAACGCCCAACGACAACAAGGCATGCACGAAGTCCCTCACTCGCAGCCTGTACGCCGACAAGTCCATCGACTCGGAGGAAGGCGCCGGCCAAAGCCCTTTCGTGGTGGCGACGCCGTAGTGCCTTCTGCCGTCGGAGCCGGTGTAGCTGTCTGTGAATGTGGCGAAGCAGCAGTTAAAGGAGCAGACGGTGAGGAATGCGGCGGAGAGGTACTTGTGGAAGGGTTGGCAGACGCCGGAGTTGGTGGCGACGGGATTGAGGAATTGGAAGAGGAATACGGTGCCTGTGGGGAGAAGACTGATGAGGCTGCTGAGTCCTGAGAATAAGCTTTCTGTGGCGTTCTTGTTTTGCTTCTCCGTGTTGTTACTCATATTTCCCAATAAGCTGCTTGATTCCATTATCCTTCAGGTATGGGTTTATTGTATGATAATAATCTTCTTGTTTGCTTATTTATACGCGAAAGTTAAAATGATTCAATTATTCTCCCATTTAAAATACTCTTTCTATCTCAAATTATAAAATATTTTTAAATAAAATTTCACGTATCAATAAAATTTATTAAATATAATTAATAATTTATCTTTTTAAAATAAAAATATAAATTTTTAAAAATACTCATCATTTAACATATTAAAAAAATAATAAAAATTAATTATATAGAGAAAAAAGTAATATTAAAATTGGTGCATTTAATAAAACTTTAATCTACTCAAAATATCTTATATTTTGAGATAGAGAAACTCTTTCAAAAGTGTCATATAATTTGAGATGGAGGGAATACAAGCTAAGACAGTTTGATTTTAATTATCTGTATTTACAAAAAATTAAAAAATAGCGCTCTAAATCTAAATGTATATCATACCCCTGGTGAGCTATTAGAAACTAAATTTTTTGTTATAAAAAATTTAAAAATAGTTGAAAGTGGATTGTATCTTTAAATAGGCAAAAAAAATATATCATTACTTTTTTAAGATTATATTCCAATTAAAATCATTATCTTAATTACCTTTTTAAAAAAAATCTCTCTCTACACTACAATATCAATAAAAACATTCGTAAAAATGAATAATTTAATGTTATTGATTTTTTACAAAGTGCTTTACATTTTAGACTAGCATATATACAGTAGTTGGTAAAAAAATGTCTTATATTTTGAATTTAAAAAAATATTAGTTAAGAAAAGTTCGAAGAGGATACATATCGGTTGCTTATGCGTATTTTTATTTAAAAAATGTGATGTGTTCCTTTCAGTTTGGTTTTACTTGGACATGGTCTTAGAGATTTCTAAAATTTGTTATTGCTAGTATAATTAAGTCGTTAAACTCTTTATTCTGTAGTTTAGCTAATTGATTAGTTTACGGCGAGATAACATTGAAGACAGATAAAGGCTTGCCACATCATACATATAAAAAATATACAATAGTATCTTTTATATTTATATAAATATATATATATATATATAAATCGTACTTCTGACATTTTCTTCGTTGCAGGTTTGTATGAAACTATAATGTGCATTAATGATTTATTGGCCAGAGAAAACGTATACTAACGATTAAGAGTTGGTCGAAAAACGAAATAAAAAACTTTTAGACATGAATGTCGTTCTTCTTTAATTAGTTACTCCCTCGATTTCAAATTATATGATAATTTTAAAAAAAATTTATTATTTTAAAATATAAAATAATTAAAAAAAATAAAGTTTCATTAATAATATATTTTTAATATTACCTTTTAAGTAGAGAGAAAATTAAAATTATATTATAGTATAATGATTAGATATAATTATATAGAGACATTTTTTAAAGTTTATAAATCTATTTTGAAAAAAATAAGTTTGTAAAGTGTGATCATTATTGAGCTGTATTTGTATGCTTAATCTTATATTAAATTGTTAATAACTTGGTAGGGGAGAGTAATTTTTAATCAAAATATATATTGAAAGTCAATATGTATCCAGGGTCAAATATATCTAGCTTGGATCAAGTTTTTTTTTTTTGGTCAAAAGCTTGGATCAAGGTTGCATTAAGGGCTTATTTAGATAACCCTCAAAAGCACATTTAAATTATATTTAGAATGTACTTTTATCAAATTCAATAAATAATTAAATTTTTTAAATAAATTTTTGTTAGATGTAAATTAAAAATCATACCCACGTTAGATAATAAAAGCAAAATTTCCGATAACCGGGGTCAATTTCATGCCACGTTCTGTAAAAAGTGATATTTACTGTTCAAATTTGCATGGGGGCTTTCAATGACATGTTTGGTTCATTATTCTGCCCCTTATTTTCAACCCGGCTAGCTATCAGAATTGATTCTAATTACAATCGTTCCATTGAACGAGAGAGTTCCTTAACGAAAGGTTATATATTCTTAAAATGATATTGTCCACAATACCCTTTTAAAATTTCAAAATTGCACCTACCTCCTGTCTCCTTCACTCTCATTTCTAGTTATGCAAGAGAACTTATTTCACCAGTTGGCCTTCAAGCAATGAATTTCCATCGAAGTAGTACAATAAATGAGGCCATGTTTGGTGTAATTGTGAGAATTAGTGGTTCCCTTTCTATGACAATTTCAAACGCGACTCATTGCATACATCATACACCAATTCAAACAATTAGTGAGAGAATCGTAGAGAACATCTAAACTTGACGCAACTAGTTAGCATTAAAATTAAATGTGTAGTAAGATCCCTTAAACGTTTTGTATTATGACGTACCGTACAACATCCCTGGCGCACATGGTTTATTAATAATTGAGAAAATTTATAGACAATAGTTTATTATTTAAATCGCGATGCACCCTTTCATCATTTTTTTTTGTTACTTAAAAATATTTTTTTATTGAAAGTAATTCTATTCAAAGTATGATCAATTTCTTAGAAAAACCTCGAACATTGATTAGTTAATTTGTGAGGAACTAATTCTTTATGTTAAATCTAATTCCTCTTGGTAGTTGGTAATTTGATCATTATTATTAGTGAAATAAAAGATGAGCTTACCCCAATGTTACTAATCATTTATACTGTTTGTCTCGTGACCTTAATTATCTTCTTTTAGTCTTCAATGTGGGACTTGTGACCTGACTGCATGTAATTATATATCTATAATTAAACTGTTAACCAGACGAAGGTAAGGAGTCAAATTGGACTTTAAGTTCTCTTTAATATTATAAACTAAGTCGAATCTTATGTGGAAAGTGGGATATATATATATATATATATATATTGTTTTTCTTTTTCTTTTTTTTTAATATAATATACGCAAAAATAACTGTGTTTTTGGGTGTGGCTTTAATTTATTTAGTATCAGTGTATTTACCAGCTTCAGATTTATTAATTTAAGTTTTATCATTTTAAATTCATAAAAAAATTGTTATATTTACTTTTAAGGCTTAATACATGCTTCTTTTATATATATATATATATATATAATTGTTATGTCATCGTCTATATTTGATAAAATTTATAGAAAATCGTACTATCTTAAACTTCATATAAATCACACATTCATAATATAATTGGATATACAAAATGAGAAGTTTGTAAATTCAAAGACCTCTCGAGAGAATTATTTGTTGGAATATTTATAAATATTATGGATTTACATTAATTAATTAAGTTTAAACAGATTGGTCTTTATGATCTTGTGTGGATCGTGATAGGTAAATTATACAAGTGAGTCAAATGGACAAAGGCCCAACCTACAACCTTATAACCGTCAATTATTTTTTATCTCATAACTGATTGAGTCAAGAATAATATAAAATTTTATTATTTAATTAATTAATTATTAAGGCAGTTTTTTGATGTGATCCATATAATGTGATCAATCAATAACTAATATATACGATTCGTTTCCATCTTTTTCATTATCTTTGTACTCATTGAAAAACTACAAAGGTTTAATAGGTTGTGTGTCTATCTATACTTGATGTAATTGAGTTATTATAATCAATTATAAATTCTTTAGGTACACATAATACTTTACTTAAATCTTATTTGATTTATATGAATTAAGATACTAATATTAACACGCGACATCAAAGCTTGATTACAGGTACTAAATTTAAAGTATCTCAATTAAATATATATTCCACGCGTTAGATGAAAATATAACCACAATTTTTAGTATGATGAGCGTAAATTATGTAGTCACTGACTTGTTCCTTGATGTTTTAAATTTGATGATCTAGACTTCTATTGACATTTTCTTGAATTTCCATATCTTTATGATTTATATTAATGTGACAATGTCTTTGATGCCAATAATGTTTTGTCTCCTATCATCATGTTTCTAATCGATTCCAGACATGTGTAAAATCAAGAATATTTTTTTTTATTTTCATCTTTGTGAATCATGATTAACTGAATGAATATTATAATCATAAGATGGTGACGTCATCTAAGTATTTAGTTGCCTATATCATCGAAAAATACATTCAGTAATTGGGACCGCCAATTAGAACCTTGGTTCAGAGTGTCACAACAGCTGTCGTTGTTCATTGTCGAGGACGCCGAAGAAGGGTGCAAATTTGCCTGATACGGTTGTTGTGGTCGTGTTGTCAAACACAGTTTCTGCTGAGATTGTTGGCATTGAGTCGACAGAGATGGCCACTGGTGTGTTTATTGGAAGCTGCTATCTTTGCCATAGCTGTTAGTCCCCAGAAGTCGTCCCCGTTCATATCGCCTTCATCTGTTTTGCAGCTACTTGAAGGCCCAACAAGTTGGGTCAAGAAGGTAGTCGAATAAAGTCATAGGGACCCGACTAGTGAGTGTATCAGTGATGTGGGCCAAGGTTTTAGACCCTGAAAAAAAAAAAAAAACTTCGTTTTCGTAAATTGCAGAGAATACCCTAGTTTTATTCACCGTAACTTCCCATAATTTATAAAATTTCGTCGCGACCCCAAGAAATTTCTGGAAATTATATGTTGGTCCCTTAAATTTCATAACTGCATTCTAGACCCAAATCTCTTCCAGAATTACCATTTGCCTCTAGATACTTTCAAAATTTCAGTTAAGTCTCAAATTTGTTCTCTAATGCCTAAAAAGCCCTAATGACTTTTGAAATTATTTTGTTTTGTCCTAAGGTCATAAACCTTATAATTTTTTGAATTATTGGTGACACTTAAGATCTTGTAACATTAGTAATAGATATGCTCCATAGTGTGACATTATTAATGCGTTTTTTATTGTTGGATTTGAGGATAGCACCTTTTGATATATTGATGTATTAGATCTTTGTTATACCCCATAAGCATAAAAATATTTAATGCATTTTTCAATATGGACTTCTGTGTGAGCCAAATTTGTGTGCTATGAGAGCCTTCTTGGTGCACGATAATAGTTACATAACTAAAATTTGCTTGTTGAAAATTCTATACTATAATTATGTTATGCACGTATAATTATTATTTTTCATATTCTGTTTTGCAATTTCAATTTTTATATTTTGAGCAACTATCTTTTGTTAAGGTCCTTTATGAGACTTTTTAATGCATGATAATAGTTGCATAATTAAAATTCGCTTGTTGGAAATTCTACACTATAATTATGTTTTGTATGCATAATTATTATCTCTCATATTTTGTTTTGCAATTTTAGTTTTTGTTTTGAGCAATCATTTTTTGTAAAAGGCTCTTTATGGGACTCATTGTGATCATTTGAGAGAGTCTTTAAATATGTACCTTACCACTTTGAGAATTAGTTGGCTTTAAGAGAATCCAAACCAGAGGATCTTTCTTTATAGTCCAATGCTCTTAACAAGGCCTATAATAAATAACGGTATAAGTCTAACCATATTTCTTTGACGATGATTGAATTCGCCATTAAGGAAAGGAATTGGGGACAACATTTTTGGTGAAATATATTATGTGATGCTTGATAGTACTTAGTTATAATGAGACATTTGGTGTTAAAGGAGATATGTCTTGAACTTGTATGGGGTTGACCTTGGAGTATTTCTTGATTTATAAAATTATTACAACCTAATTATAAATTATTGACATCTTCTTACTTCACCTAAGAAAGGGGAGAGATTAAAGGATTATGCAATATTAATAGTAGCCCATGATAACTTCTAATTTGAGGGATGAAATGTTTCAAATTTTGGAACAACTTTAGAAGTTAAGGTTCATTTAAGTGGAGTTGCTAGACTATTGTCCTTTTATGGGCTTATACAATTCTAAACTTATATGAGCTCTTGATAATTTGAGCATGTAAAATCTATTATATTGTAAGCCCTATATATAATGTTTTGCCATTAATAATCTAGCTTCATTAGATGAATGAATAAATTACAGATATTTAGAATTTTCATTTTCATCCATATGCTAAGGACATTTATAAATAAATTAGTGATATATTTTTGGGATATTGAAAGAGTCATTTACACTTAGTAATTGCGTGCTCACCCATAGTAGATCAAATTATGATAGTGTATCATTTGTAATTATATTTGAAAATGTTTTGTTGACAATAAATTTTACCCCATAGACATGTCATTGTTAATGTAATTTGTGTTTAAAATTTTAAAATTATTTGTAAATACTATTGATTAAGGATCCTATCTGTAAATGAAAGATTACCATTGTTGGTAGTTGGACATTTATTTGACAATTTTGCAAATAAGAGTTTTTAATGTCTGGTTGTTTCTTATACCCTATAGGTATGGTGACATTGAATATATTTTATTAGAATTCTTTTGATAAAGTTCTCAATTCATATTTGAACTGGATGCCTAATAATCTAGTGTCCAAAACATTATAAGACAAATTATTTATATTAGGTTGAAAATTATAAAAGAGATCTTCATTTGAAGAAGCTTAATTTCAAAATCTATTAAAGAATTCATTGTTTACTGTTGCATAGGATCAAGAAGGTGCCAAATTTGTTACTTACTATCAAGTTAATCAAATTTGAATCTTATTTTTAAATAAATAGCAAGAGTTATAGACTTAGACTATTGGTCTACTTGTTAAGAGCACCACCTTTACATAAACATGTTTGTTCATCAACTTCGTTTGATAAGGATGAAGTTGTTAAGAATTCACTTGTTAAAATAAAAAAATCTATTAAATATGCTGAGGAGTTGGTTTTATTAAGATGATCTCACTAAGTTGGTATACATTAATACCTAGTTTGTAAAAGATAAAATTACAATCAAACAACTCTTGAGAGAATTATTCACAAAAAATGACTTATAACATGTCATCATTTGTGAAAATTAAACAAGTCACTATTTTTATTTTAATAATAAATAATTTTGCATTAACCTTTGTCTATAAATAATTCTTTTTGGGAGGTCTTTGAATGTGATTCTCTTTTTTGTAAAATCCAACATTTCGGAAAAGAACACTTCATGAGGAAACGGACCATTATAAAACCAATATATGGTACCATGATTATTACTAAATAATAGGTTGAAAAATAGCATGTTCGATGCGATTAAGCAACCTATTTGCATACTTTACCCCATTCTTTTTTTTTTTTTTTGCAAAACATGCTTATACGTGAAATACCACCACTAGTAAATGGATTGGACTAATCACCTCTTCATTGGTGGTGAAGGTCCCTAAATTAAAAATTAGTAATAAACAATAATAGAAAAGTCATTAATGCAAAAATCGTATGTTTATCGCAAATCTATGGTGATTCTGCGTCAAATTAAATTTCTCTCTCATATATATAGACACATGCAGTTATGCAGTCTTATTTTTCATATATAGATGTATATATGGGGTCAAAAATTTAATGTCATAATGCGGGAACCATCCATATCTATCAACTAGGAAAAACAACACTTGAAAACGAAACAGATAAATCTGACTTCAATAGACAAATTAATTAATGTTCTAGAAAATATAAACAAGAGAAATAAATAATTGATGCGCGAGCGCGATGATCAATTCCTGCATACTGTACGTATAGGCTCTGGTTAAACATAACACTTAATTGGACTTGTCACACACGAATTCTTCAATCTCAACTGTTAATGAAGTGTCCCAGAACACAACTAGCTAATATACGAATGTTCCCTAATATTAATTTATTTTTGCTATACTCCAGCACGCTTGGTGTTATTTGTGGTCTCTTTCTTGTCCTTGCTATTATCATTGTTATTCTCGACACCGGATGTGAAAGGGTACCCAATTCCATGGCGAGTGTTAGGGAATAGCATGAACACAGCGCCGGCCGCCACCCCGATCACCGGCGGAATCACCTGAATCAGAATCTTCTGTGCCGACTCAAACCGCCGGTAGAAGCAGCTCACCGTGTTGGCGTCCAGAAGCGCCAGAACAGCGAACACGATCAACCCCAATAAAGCATGCGCGAAGTCCCCCACCCTGAGCTTATACTTGGCCATGTCGACCTTGTCGGACGCCGGCGCCGGCCACAGCCCCTTGATGGTGACGATGCCGTAGTGTCGTTGTTTGTCGGAGCCCATGTAGCTGTCGGTGAAGCAGGCGAAGCAGCAGTTGAAGGCGCAGGCGACTAAGAGGGCAGTAGTGAGAATCTTATTGGTGGCGGTGGTGCAGTGGCCGGCGTCGGTGACAACGGGATTGAAGAACTGGAAGAGGAAGACGGTGCCGGTGGGGAGGAGCTTGATGAGGTTACCTAGTCCGGTAAATGTCTTGCTGGTTAGGGTTTGGGAGGTTGAGGACGATGAAGCCATGTCGTTATTACGGAGATGGCTACGTTATTATGGGTTCGTGTTTGAGGCATATGGTCGGGGTTTTATAGAGGAAGAGGAAGAGGAAGAGGCGGCGAAGGTCTCTAATTTTTTCTTTATGGAAGTGCATGCAATGTAACGGTCTTTGATTTGATCATTCTGAATATCCAAGCTCATCGGCTAATTAATTATTATATATTGTGATCGACTTTTTGAATCGATCACTCTCTATATTTTAATATATAATAACATTCAATGAGCCAAGGAAGATCACGAATACGATTCCAAGTCTCTACGACAAACTCCCCGCTATATTCATGACTTGGTCTCAGCAACAAATTAACATCCTAGAATGTTAGGTGACGTAGAGTCAATATATATCGCATTATTTTAATTTTTCTTTTTTTTTTTTGGTTTGAAGAAGGGAGCAAAAGGTCAATACAAGGACACCAATTATTATCATGATTATTATTATTCCAAACATCATGAAAAACCAATCAAAATACGAGTCATACGTACATATCTCGAGTTCCTAAAAAAATTCTTTAAAAAAAACTATTTAATCTATTTATTTTTTGGACGAACTATTTAATCTAATTAGATACAAGTTTTGGTGATTTATAAATTACTATTCTGAGATAAAGATTTCCTTATATGATTATTCTATGATTCTATATATGTACGAGGCGTGTTGGAGTAATGCCAAAAGCTGATGATGTTGTACATATCCCCATGCATGCATCAATGCTCTTCGCACCATTGTTTTTGGACCCAAATGGTTGGACTAGTCAAATTATCACTAAAAAAGAAATTATTTTAACTTTTTAATTCGTTTTAGCAATTGATTCACTTTAACTTGGCAGTTTTTGAAAAGCCAGAGCTGTTAAATCATTTTGACCCATTTTTATATATATATATATATATTATTTTTATTTAATTATTATGTCATTGGTTTAATTATCAATCTAATCAGTTAAACCATAAGACTAATAACTTACTATTCTATTTGATTCATTGTTTGGTTCGGTTTTTAAATTATTGGTTCTGACCCATTGCTTTCCTAACTAACTAGCTAGCTTCTCGTGTCACTGATCATTTTGTATTGACATCACTCATATAATATCAATTTCGTCAAATTTTGATTAATTCATTTAGTTGAACAAAATTCTATCGCACCAGTTTCATAGAGAATATTTATCCTTTTCAAATAACTTACATTATAGGCGCAGAAACAAGGGGATAAATAGGAGCCACAACCCCACTTGACTTTTTAATTTTTTTTAATAAGATGTAGGAATTATATATCTTCAGCCTTCTAAATTAGTACATTATAAAAACCTTAAAACATTATATAAAATTCTCATTTCAATTTTATATGTAGTCTTTTACATATATATAGTCCAACTGTTTCAATAGCTTGGAGATATATTTGTCATGAGATCCATTTATTCTCAACAAGATAGTATTACATTTGCTCTTAAAGCGTTAATGCTACACTTATTTTATATTTGATAAAATAAATTATTAAAATTATTACTAACAAACTTTATCAAGCATTCCAAGAAAAATTTCAAGATATATTGAGGTTATAGTTAAGATATATTTTTTTAGAAATAAATTACTTTTTTCTATAATAAACTAAGCTATAAAAATTTATTATATGAATGATTTGTACTATAATATAATTAGATCTTATTGAAATAAAGAATTTCTAACAATTGAGCACCATTATTGTGTTAATATATGTATTCACTAATAGAGCTTATTAGATTGAGTATAATTTTAAATTCCAATGATGTATTTAAATCATTTAATGACCATGGAGAAGTTGAAATATTTACCAATTTAATAATATAATTTATATTTATATCAAGAAGGAAATTGCTGAAAAGTTTATCATACACATAATAATTAATTATTCTTATACTATAAAAAACCAATAAACAAAATTTAAAAATGAAAGTATATATTTATTTTTGTTATATATTTGTAAAGTTGAATATAAATACAAACATCGAAATATTTATACTATATTAATGATATTACATCTATTACTTCACTTTGATTATTACGTAGGTTTTGTCATCTTGACTTTCCTAATAAAATTTTCTGGCTTGGCCCTGGATCTGGAAACTAAGATTGAAATTACACCCTTATTATAAATAGTATTATATACATTCACTTCAAAACAAAACTGAAATCTGCTGATTAATATTAACGTTAAACCTTTTTAATAAAATAAAACGTGAAGGACACATGATTATTTTCTTACACATGGTAATTAATTACATTAATTAATTACCATATCCACGCAATTACCGAGCTGCTGGAAATTATATAGCACTCTCTCCTTTCTTAGATATGATGATTATAACAAAATATATCCCAATCTGCAATTTAGATTCAATGTTTTTTCTCAACAAAATATCCTAATGTCCTTATTAATTTCAATATAATATCAATATTATTCAACCGGAAAATACATTAAATTAATATTTCTAACATGAATACGTACTGTGTTGTTTGAATAACTTACAATTTTTAATTAATGATCTACCTATATCGATCCCAAGCTTATTCAAGTATCTGTTCAACAAGTTCACGGAAACTCCAATATATATCCAAATTACTGGAAATATACAAGAGGATGGCAAGATCGGACATGGTTTTAATTTTTGATTCCAGTGTCTCTCTGCCAAAATTAATCAATTTAGCGTGCGCAAGTATTGACTATAACAAAGAATAGACTCTTACCTACTGGTTCATTTGCAGACTTAACACAGCTAGCTACCAGTCATGTATAACCAAGAACATCAAATCAATGGAGAAAGACAATCGAATTTGAATGTTAATTCTATGAAGCATGCAATTTATGTTTTAGGAGAACTTAGATAATTATTTCATCATATTGACATAACAAGTAACTTAATCATATTATGAAACTATATATCAATTAGTGACTTTAACTCATTTTTGGTCATATATAACTTTCATATTGGATTTGTTTCTTTTTCTGGGGATAAGATAACATGAGGTTTTTGCAGTGAATAACGTCCTTAATTAAGTAATTACTTTCAGCACATGGTTACGTTGGCTTATATATGTTGTATTACTCCATTACGAAATCGGTGCATATTGAAGATCCAAAAAGAATTCATTTTACAAATGATGACAGCGTTTAGATATGTTTCACTTCGGCCACGCCAAACAAAATTCGAAGAGGAAAAATCCTTAACGGGTGAAATTTATTTGTACCTAATATGTAAATATCAGAACTTATTAAGTTAATATATATATATCATTGGGAGAATATCAATAAAGGACCTTGAAAGAATTTAATATCTAATAAGAATTTCAAACAAGTAAACATCAATAAATTAACAAGTGAAATTACTATTTTAACAATATCTAATCTATTCAAAATCCTCGTTAAATATTAAATTCTTTTAAGGTTCTTTCATTGATATTCTCCTTAAATATAAAGAGAATATTAATGAAGAGTCATTGAATTAAAAGATATAGAATGATCTTGTTTATCACCGATTTGTTAGCCCTGACTCGTGAGATTTATTTCAGGTTTCATATTTCAATAATTAGGCTCTTTGGTAATGGATAATATACGTGTGCATTCCCCCCCCCCCCAAGATATACTTACAGTTGGCAACTATAAGATCAATCTCCCTAAAAAATCTCAGCGTTTGAATGTTAGTTGATCATTTCTTGAGGTGTTAATATTAAACTTGACCCGGCGAAACATGCACGTACTTGATTAAAACACTTGATCGATTTGGAAAAGTCAAAAAACATGCGCCATGTCAAAGGTACTCTATCGTGTTGTTCTCATTTTTCTAACGTGGTTGGCGTCACAGTGCTTATTTGCTTTCATTGGGCCTTTATTGAGTCACCTGATGTAATTGACTGTGTTACTAAATTGCCCAATCATAATATGAATATGGAATAGAGTCTATGCCAATAATGTATATAGTGGGGCCGGGTATACAGTTTAATTTCTACTCCATATGCCAAAAAAAAAAAAGATCAGATGAAGATTCAACGATATAATATTCCAAAAATGTGGAGACGGCTGTTAATAGTTAATGTCATGAAATGAAACGAACAATTCAACATGTTCATTACGTGTGACGTTTGTTCTGATAATAAGAAATTAGGCATAAATCACTATGCTTACACAGACTGATGACAAATATTGAAATTGCAACACCTCGCAAAGAAACATGTTGCATGACTTATTGAGAAACAAAACAGAAACGGCATCAACGTAACAGCCTCAATTTAAGATAAGTAGCAGAAACATTCACATGATTAATTACCAAGTATGATCAAGAGCAAGCAAAGCGTTCAAATAAATAAATAAAACGAAATAGAGTGCAGACGTTAGCCAGTGAGGATTATAAGAAAGTGAAAAGCACGTGTTACGTTATCTGCAACGCACAGTTGCGTCTAGAAATATGGATATTTGGGTTCAAGAAGTGAAGATATTGGAGTCGTAAAAATAAATGGAGCATGGTGACGATGAAAGGTATGCATATCAAATGGAGATGACGACAATTTTCAATATATAATAAAGGATTTTGTGGACAGGAGGAGTGTGAATGACAAGCATACATTTCTTGCATCTCATTATATTATATAATCCACCAAACACTTCGCAGATTTCTTTTCTCTTTTTCTCTTCGCAGCCACCCATTATCACATCCATCATACATTCATTACAGCTTCTACTTTATAGTACGTTGTATCCCATTTCGGGAATAATCTGTCACAGACTTACTTCCTCGTTTAAAAACATGAAGTATTTTATATTCATTTTAAAATAAAATATTATATTATATAGAAGTAAATATGAAAAGCTAGTATTAGTTTGAAAATAAATAATTACTTTATTAAAGATAAAATTTAATTAAGAATGACTTAAATTTTTTAACAGTGAAGCATATAATACTACTGCAAAGATGAGCCTATATATCATATGGAATAATCCGTCACATATATAATTTATCCATTTAAAAATATAAGACATTTTATATTTATTTTGAAGTGAGAT